CATTTTTCCGTCTTTCTTTTTGACGAATAGTATTGGTGATCCTCCTGACACGAAAGAGTCTCGGATCCATCCTCTCTTTAGGTTTTGCTCGATATACTTCCTAAGTTCTTCGAGCTCTGCTTCCCCTAGTGGGTATAACTTCTTATAGGGAATCTCTTTTGTCTTTCCCGTTTTTTCGTCTTTGTTCAGCTGAATTTCGTGGTCGATTCCTGGTCTTCAAGGTGGTAGCTCCTTAGCTTCCTCTTCTTGGAATAGATTTGTGAGTTGGTAATATTCTTTTGGAATCAATTCTTTCCATCCTTTTTTGCTTTGGTATTTCTTGTCCTGGATTGCTAGCTCTGTGCTGATGTTGATTTTTGCTAGAACCGCTTTTTCGTCTTCGAATATCCATTTGAGAATTCCTGTTGTATCTCCTCTTCGATAATATTGTCCAAAGGCTTGTGCTGTGATCTCATTGATCTCAATTCTTTTTGTTGTATCGAACTGGTTTTGGTCCGTACTTCCAAATCCCTTGTTTCCTCTTATGGTTTCTTCCAGTTGATCTACTTCAGGCAGATCCTCTTTGTTGATTTTTTCGATTATCAACTGTGCGATTCGATCGCCTTTCTGGTCTTGGTAGTCCTCTTGAGCTAGGTTGGCCAGGACCACTTTGATTTCACCGGTATAGTCGACGTCGATCACCCCTGCCATGGTAATGAGTCGGTGTTTGACTGCTAGACCACTGCGGGGTGCTATTCGTCCATAGGTGCCTTCTGGGAGTCCAATGGCTATTCCCGTCGCTATCGTTGCCTGCCCGTTAGCAGGTATCTTAATTCCTTCGTTGGCATATAGGTCGTGTCCTGCTGCCTCTTTGAAACCCTTGGTAGGCACTTTTGCCTCTTAGTCCAGTCTTTGTATCCGGACTCTCTTGTCTTGCCGCATCTCAGCAAACTTTGCATGCAAAGTTTCTTCCTCCGCTTCTTGTATCAGTATTGAGTAGACTACAGGTGAACTGTTGAGACATTATGTCGCACATAGTTTGCTTGTAAATGTCATCTTGTTCTCGTTCCAATCGATTGTCGGATTATGCTTCCGTAACCATGGCATCCCTAGGACTATCTCATGGTTCTTCAGATCTGCCACTTGAAAGGTTGCCGTTTCCCTATGGCTGTCAATGTTCATGGGTACTGTCGCAGTATGGGTTATAGGACCCATAGCGCTTGATTTTCCATCCGCTAAGTAGACTTGTCTTGCTTTCTTCGCTTGTTTGGTGTGGAGGCCGTATTTGTCGCATATTTCTTTGTCGATGAAGTCTTCAGTGGCCCCCGAGTCGAGCATTGCATATATTGTTGCTTCTTCGCTTTCTCCGTTGTATATCTTCGTTTTGATCATCAAATGATCTCCATCTTCTACTCCTCTTTGCGTGTGTAGTGCCGTGTAGTAGTTCAATAATTTGATAGGTTTTCCAGGTCCACATCTTGGGTCTCCCAGACCACCGTTTACTGGGGACCCTCGTCGTTTTCCGCCGGTGAATCCTCTGCTATCATCTCACGGATGTTGCTTCTTTTCTGATTTTGGAAACAACTATTTCCAGCAGCTCTATTTCCCTGGTATCCGTTGTCCGGCCGGCTTCGACATTCTCGTATCCGATGCCCTGCTTTTCCACCCCTTAGGCATAGTTTTCCATTCATCCTTCTGGCGTATTCTTCCTTAGACATATTCAGAGCAGGCCCTGCTCTTGACTTGTCTAATTCCATTGGTTCGCCTGGTGGTAATGCTCGACTTTCTCCTCGAGGTGCTTGCGGTTTGAAGGTCCCGTCCACATTCCTGGTTGATTGGACCACTCTATGTGCTATAGTGTTTTCCGAGTTGCTCCGAACCATGTTTAATTTGCTTTCTTTGTTGATTGCTCATCTTATAAATCATTCGGCTGTCGTATAGCGCAGGTCAGAGATTTCCCATGCCTCTCGGAGTCTCTCACTGCAGTTTCTCAGGAGGACGATGTAGAGAGTCACATCATCAAACTCGGCCTCTTATTCCAACAGTCGACATTCATTCCAATATGCTGAGAACGTTTGTTTTCCTTGCTGGAGTTTCTCTAGCTTTCATCTTGCTGTTTCTTTGGCGTTGGGATCTCCAAATTGTTCAAAGAGTGTCACCTTGAACACTTCGTACGTGACCCATTCTGTAACCGGTACGGGTACTGAGTTATTGGTTTTGTTTTATGTTTTGTTTTAAGTATCGCTTTGATACTTGGTTTGTTTTAAGTATCGTTTGATACTTGGTTTTGTTTTATGTTTTATTTTAAGTATCGCTTTGATACTTAAAGAGTTTTACCAAAGTGTATCGAGTGATACCTTTGATTAGTTTCGTTCATGTTAAAGACATGAACAGATTTGTGTATTTAAAGACCGCCTGTCTCTACGATAGAAAGAGCAGACTTCAACAGACAGTATTTCACTATACTTGGTTGAACGGTTACTTCTTTGTTCCTCAGTACACCCTCGAAGCCTCCTTTAGTTCTCAGCTCTCGCCTCCTCTCTGGAAGAGCAGGCCACCTGCCAACTATCGTATCTATTATCGATAACGTGATTAGCACTTTGCGAACACGTTACACATTCCCTCTGCTTCCTTCCATCTTGGAAGGGCATGATCCATTGTCCCGCGAGTCCTCTGAGTAGAGATTCCACATATGGAATCTTAATTTCATCATGGTGATCTCCGTATCCCTTGCTGGCAAAATATCCCTCGCATTGCGCTAAAAATATTCGTAGCTTATCTTCGGCTCCTTCGTATGTGTCGGGCTCCTTTGCTTTTGGTCGTTGGACATTTCCTTGCCCTGTATTTCGCGTGGCTGCAAGAAATGCCTGAAACTGATTTTCAGTCATTCCAAGTATGCTGGTTCCTGGTACAGGAGCAGCTGGGGCCGGTGGCCCAGCTACTGCGGATCCCGACATTCTCTCAGGTTGTGGAGTTCCAGCAGGAGAGCTATCGACTGGTGATCCTTTCTCTGGGGTTACTGGGCTTGCTGCTCTCAAGGGTTCTGCTGAGACGTGATCTAGGGCGTCGCTGAATCCTCCTAGATTAAGATTTTGATCGTCGATGTCAATATCTCCTTCCCTGTCTGGGTTGAAGGATGCCGTCTTGTCTCGTTTGGCGTCGTACTAGGTGACGCTTTGTAATGTGATGATCCCTCTCTGGATAGTTAGTGCTTGGCGACGGGGAACGATACTTCTCTTCCTGTCTTCTCCTTCTTTTGTCTTACGATAGCTCTAGGCCCCTGCCTACGTTACCGATAGTACAAGACCCTTGTCTTCTACCGGGAACACCTATCGTAGGCTTTCTCTAACTCTTCTTCGTAAAGCGCCTTCCTTGGCATAACGATAATGTTGCAATAAGGATAAAGATCGTAAAGGTGTTTTATATTCGTTAAAGTCATAAGTAGGAAAAGCACTTAAAACAAAGCGTGAAGCACCTATCTTCCTCAGCCGCATCGACCTCCTTATATAGTGTTCTTCCCGCCTTTAGTCATGTGACCTAAAGTGGTCACATGTACGAAACCAAATCATAACAAACTAATCATATGACCAAAGTGATCACATGCTCAAAACCCATGACCTCATAGTGAGGTCATGTGCAAAACTCATAAACCAATCATAATACAATAAACAAGTCATATGACTCAACTGAGTCATATGCACGAAACCCATGACCTCCTAATGAGGTCATGTGCGAAACATAAATCATATGCGCAAGGCTTACCTGTAAGGCACACTCGCAAGGCATACTCATCAGGCGCATGTCCCATGACTCATACTTGAGCCATGTGCGAAAGCATCACAAATCCCACACATAACAAATCATATAACCCGAATAGGTCATATGCGCAAAACAATAACATACCTGTGACTCATAACTATGCGTCATGTGAAAACCCTTTCCTCGTTAAGCCATGTTCGTGACACCATACCATAACTGTCTCCCTTTCTGACTCCCAGACCTCATCAATACAATCCTGATCATATTCCTCAGAAGGTTCTCTTATCACCCATCCTCTCTGCCCAAATCCAGCTGTAGAGAATGATATTTCATCAGTCCATATGATTCTAGACCAGTCTCCTAGTTTCCAAGCTCTTTTTCTCATACACCAACCAAATCTAATTGGTATATTTTTAGAACACAATCCCTATCTAAAATATCTTTTAGTTATGTAAACACTTGAATCTTCATTAAATTACTTACTTCTTGCATGGTTTTCTTTTATTTAAATTAAGACTCTTAGCTGCCTTCCTAATTGTCCTGGATGATACCTTTAATCCCTTCTCTTCTTTAATATTCTCCCAAGAGAGTCTTCTATTTCTTTTATTTTCTTTAATAAAAGACTTTAGATCAAGTAGATCAGACTCCTGGAAGATTGGAGGCCTTCCTGTTCGCTGGTAGTTGGAAGGACTACCTGTTTCCCAATACTATTGATAGATGCGAGCACAGGTACTATGGTGAACTTTAAGGCCTATTTTTTCCTCCAATTCGGCAGCTATCTTTCTGAAAGACCACTCCGCTATTTCTCAGAGAGCAATAATACGGATCCGGTCATCACGTGTGGTTTCCCGCTCGAATCACTGTCACTTCTTCGTTAATGATCGCCGCCGCTCAAGATTTCGTGGACTAATCGCTAAATCATTTAATTTTATTACTATTTCAACTTTATGTACATATTCATTTAATTAAACTACTTACGCTCACTTCTCTGGGTTCCCTTTACCCTCATAGTGCTTTTCTGAAATGGTTTGGCAGGTGGTGGGGGATATAGTGAGTATTGTAGTGATGGGGGTTGGGAGTAGAGTTGCGATCTTGTGGGAAGCGGTTGCTACTGTGTCGCACTACTTCTTTCCCCCCCCTCGTACAGTACCTTCCGTGTCCCGAGAACTTCGAACCTCGCCACTGCTTTATGGTATCATACCGGTACAGTGCAGTACCATCACCCCACTCCATCCCACTCCACCATCACCAGCGCTGCCAAAATGTCCACCCCGATCCACACCTTTTCAATAACTCCACTAGCTCAATTCTCCAACAAAAACTCTCAGATCCGCCGTCCCCAGGTATGGATACCTTCCCTCCCCCAGCTCCTCCAAGCTTCCATCTCACACCCGTTGCAGGAAATCACGCACTTCTCATACGATGACCGCCGCCGCCTCCACCACGACCCGTCCTCGCTAAAATCTTACTACCCCCCGCCGCTGGGCAGTGATCTGTCGCGTGGATTCGAGAGCTTCCGGAAACATGATAGTAGCATAGACGAGCATTTGGATGGGCTATTGGAGGCGATTGTTGAGTTTGAGAGGAGGAGCGGGCAGAAAGTTGCTGCCGACGTTATCACTTGGAGGGGGATGATGACTAAGGTTTGTTGGACCCCCCCCTCTTCTCATGCCCTGTCTGGCTGGGAGGCGACAAAGATTGAGTGTAGCTGACTCTTTGGCAGTTTATGGTCTTGCCGTTTGATATGCGAGATGGGTTTGTTGTCATATCTTCCTCCATCTTCGCAGTCGGCGGGTCAAAGGAGAGCAACAGGCTAATGCGCGCAGCTTCGAAATGAATGCTATAAAGTTTCAAGTATTTCCCCTACTACCCCTCCTTTTCATTGACGGTCGCTAAACTCGCTCTGGCTAGGGCTCAATGTACGAGCACCATCCGCTCTGCCATCCATCCATCAACCAATCCCCCACTAACCGTTCCCTCCAGCTTCATTGAAGAAAACCACTCCTACAAGCTAAACTCCCAAAGCGTGCCGTTCCCCCGTCAAGACTTAATGACATATTGGGGTACCATATCCCCTCCTCCTCCCTCCCCCCACTCGCTAAATTCATCTACACAGGCTACAAATTTGAAGAAATCTCCACTCTTCCCGGTAATCCTTCAGACTTTTCCCGCGAGGCCATAGAATTGCGCGACCACAACATTGTGAATAACGAGGAACAATTCTGCTCGATTGTGAAGACTGGTTTCGGTGGTGTCAGACTGATTATCGGTGGGGAGGTTGATGCTGGTTTAGCCCTCTCTTGCTGTGTTCTTATCATTGGTTGCATTGATAGCTGAGAGTGCAACAGTATGGGACCAGAACCCTCCCCCGGACCCGCTGAACAAACCTCCGGTTTACGTGGAGCTCAAGACCTCAAAAACCCCACGGCGCCCACACGAGCATGTCAATTTTGAGCGTAAGATGTTGCGCTTCTGGGCTCAATCGTTCCTGCTTGGGATAGCCAAGGTTGTGGTTGGCTATCGTGACAACGAAGGCATCCTCGAAGGGTTGGAGGAGATAGAGACTACGAGTATTCCTGGAATCGCAAAGCGCAGTGGGCGGCAGCTCTGGGACGGGAAAGTTTCCATTGACTTCACAACCACGATTCTTGAGTGGATAAAGCAGACCATTGAATCGGCTCCTGAAGGCACCCTCTGGCGCATTACACATGCTCCAGGATCTAATACTGTTGGCTTATCCATACTCTCTCAAAGTTCCTTCTTATCTCCTACATTTCTGGAATGGCGGAATAATATCTAAGCCATATATCCTATTTCCTTCTCCACCTTCGCCTTGGATCATTAGTTCCTACCGACCAAGCGGTCAAAGAGGTCAAGTTCACACATGGATTTTCCGTTTCCACTTCGGGTTTTAATAATATGATATTTCAAACCATTCAAACAATGTAGCACAAAATCATGATGTCTATAGAAAATCCACCATTTCCCTCTACTCCATCCACCAGAGGAAAACCAACTTCCTAGTTTTGATTGACATCCTGCACAATGTCCTAACTTCAGTGAACTCGGTTTAAAAATGCCACAACCTGCCTGCAACCACTATCACCATATAAGTAACCTTTCCGCAAACATATCAGACCTTTTTTACGAATGCCGCTCCAATAAAGCCATTGAATCCGGGGGGGTTCTAATCGCGCTTGCGCCAAACTCCCTTCGACATCTTTGGTGCAAAAAGTCCTACTCCGGTGTTTAGTCGTCGTCTGCTCGCGCACTGGAAGCAGATGTCTTACCAATTTGTTGCGCCGCAGAGACACTTCGACATTTTTTCAAAATGTTGTTGGACGCGGGAAACTCCAACTCAGTTCCTGGACCGATCAGCATTTGAACTCGGCTCCCGTCGACGTTTGCCATCCTATAACTTACCAACCAATGGCCCCGAAGAGTGGAAGAGCTAGACAATTCAATAGGTTAAACGTATTCTAAGCCATTAGCAATTAATTGGTTTCCTCTTATACCTTAGGTCTGTAGGACGGATCTTGATCCATAACAGAACTATTACGAAACTTCTCAACAAGCTGATCAATGCCTTGAATGTCTAACCTCGTCAGTTGGCAGTCCCTCATCTTGTCTGCAAAGTTTCATGAGGAGACTAACTTGCATAGGTCACATCAAGAACTTTTTCCGAGTTAAACTTGTTCCTGTATACAATTAGCTCGGGAGAATCGTAATCACATTTAGGTCCACGTACCACCTGGTACCCGATTTTGCCTTGACAAACTATCAGACTGTCAGCAGGAATACCTTCAACCTCTCCCCCCCCCAACCCACCAGATTACTATCCACATACCTCGATGATGTCGAGTGGCTAAAAATTTAGTTAGTGGCTAGAGATCTACACATCGTCGGCTAGATTCCCCTGGTGCTTACATCGATAAAGTTAATGAATGCATACCCAACACTAATTGGGCTATGAGTCAGCTCAACCTATATATGGAGAGGCAAGGAACCTCGCATTGATCGGGTTACCCCTTCATCACTTACTTGCAAACATTTCTAAAGTCTGAGCAAATCAGTCGGTACTCGGGTAAGACAAATAAACTTGATGGGACAGACATCACTTGCCTATTCTTAAATAGAGGAAGTTATACTGGGCCTTGCTCGTAGTATCGACATATTCCTTAAGAGTTTGCTGTTGTTCCATTAGTCTTACGGAGCCAGCTAATAGACGTAGATTTACTCACCTGATCAACCTTATTCGGGATATTTCTGAGCATCACCTATAACGGGATTAGTCTAACAACCAGAGATAATAGGAATTTCGTCAATCCATTAGTGTACCGTTGTTCTTGTATCTAGCCCACGTTCAATACGCTCTAGATCAATTACATTCTTCCCAGGCACCTGCAATTGGTTGTGCAAACCATCCCCTCCCTGTGGTATAGTATCTCGGCAGTACGGCAAACATTCTTCTTCGACATCTTGGGATCTCGGGGTAGACACCACTGAGCAAGCCAGCGGATTCATTGGCCGAAGGGATAGGTAGTCAAGATCGCCAGCGGAATCTGTACCATTCTCATGCCTACCAGTTCTGAGACTATTCCCACCAGATATCAAGTGTTTAGGGCAGAACGCGTTAAGCCCAAGGTGCCTATCATCCTCTGGCTGGAATACAGAGCGACCACCCACCGAGCCAGGAGCATCCCTGTCAGGAGTAGAATGGGCTTGAGGGCGCAGCAGCAGAGGACGATAAAGCCTTTCGGCCTGATTCTTCCCACCATTGTTTAGGTTGTAATATTGCACCGGGACGGCTTCACCCCCGGAGGCACGGTAGCCGGTATCAGTAAATGCTAGCCCCATGCGGAGCCCGGCAGCGTATTGCCCATCTAGAGTATCAATAGTCTCGCAGCCGTGGGCGTAGTTATTAAAACAAGCCAAGAAGGTTGGAGGGCGAGAGCTCTCAATTGCCGTGAACTTGCAGAGGGCTCCAAATGTGGATAGAATATGGAAAACTTGGCCGGAAGACCAACGCAACCGCCCTCCGGAATACAGGATGCATATGAGATCTGACTTGCTATCACTAGCAGTCATTCCAAAACTACCTCCCAACGGAATGTTTGCCAACTCAATTGGTCAGTTGTGATTCCTAACACATTTCTCCACGACTAACTCACCATAGAAACATAGCCTTCAGGGCAATATTGCACTACCACATTATCTTCCATCTGGAGTTGCTCGAATGCTCGAATTGCATCCCCCAAATCAAAATATGAAACGACACAGAACCCGTTCGGTAACAAATCTTTGGTGTAGATTTCTCGAATATCACCGAATTCCTTCACAATATTAGTTATCTGAGCTACTAAAAAGAAAACCCAAGGAGGGTGGCTAACAGATAATTTATCGAAGAGCAACAATGAAGTTGCTTCCAAAGGTATCCCACCAATTTTGAGAATTCGACTTTCCTGAACCTCCAGTGGCACCACTTTGACCTGGGTTTGCGGCGTATTGCTACTCGTATTGGAAGAGGAATCGAGCCGGTCAAGAAGACACCCTGACCCACCCAACACACTTCCAGCAGAATTCTGGTTTCCAGGAGAGGCATCATGGTAAGAGGAGTTAGGAGAATTAGACACGGAACCGTAGTCCAGGAGAGATCCCCCTGAAATGGGATCAGGGCTTTCAAAACCTGGTTTAATACTCAAAGCAGCACGAAGCTTTCCCCTAAGTTCGTCCAGATCCTGAGCCTGGCGGCGAGATATGGACTCGGTGCCACGAAATGCTAGAAGCTTTGCAGGCTGGGGTGAGTCGAGCAAGTGAGTAGGCAGTGCCCCCCATCCAGCATAGTGGCCTTCGGAGGGAGAAAGAATCAGAGACGATGGGGTGTTCGTTTGGACATAATCGCCAATGGGGCTATTCCTAGGAGTGTAAACGGTACTCTTGCTCTTAGGAGAGCTAGAGAAAAGCGAATCCGGAGAGGCCATATCTGTTTGACTTAGTCTTCTTATCCTTTGAAATTGCTCAAAACCGCACAATCGGAATTATTGTGAGATTTTTTTGATAAGGAACAACCAAGCGGAAAAAAGATGTTCACAATCAAAATTGATCCCGGGACAAATACAATCAAAATGTTGCTGGAGGTTGCCGAAGATGGGAAGACAGGATCAAAAGAAGGGTAGATAAATTATTCCTTTTTTTTTTCGGCAAAGCTAGAAGGGGGGGGGATAACTCTAAGGAACGATGGCAAGGTTAAGGGAAACGAAGATGGTGAAGGGATGCTTAGGGGGGAGGGGGAAGAGAACTGATAAAGGTGGGAGGGAGAGGTGCAATGAAGGCGTGACCTAGGGAGATTGAGATAAGAGGGCCACCTGATGGATAGCTTTGGGGCGGGAAACTGAAATACTATGTTAGTATCAGAGGGGGCGGGCTCCAAAAAGAAGGGGAAACCCACGATAGGAGGGAAATAGAAGTGGGAAGGGGGAGGGGTAAGGGGTAAGGGAAGTAGGGAATGACGGTTCTGAGCTGACGACTATGCTTACCATGCCCACATCAACAAATAGTTTACATGCATAGAACAGAGGCTCGTACTCGTAAGCCTTAAAATTGAAGAAGAATCTTTGCGGACTTTTCTCTCTTCTGAAAACATCATAGAAAAGACGCGCAACTGATGGACTATGTCACTATGGCGAGTGATTCCGAGTGATTGTGTCTCCAGTTTTCCGAACGGCAACAGTCCTTGATGTTTGGCGCGCTCTGTCCACAGCAATATCTCACAAAACTTGCTACAAGGACAAAGTCGAAATTTTGAGTCACATAGGCCAAGTTAAGGAGTCTATTAAGGTATCATACTAGTGAATTATTTGTTCGGCATACTGCATCACCCAGCAAAAAGCGTCAGTCATTACTCTCCCATTCATGGGCAGTGGCAAGACTCCTCCGCTGGCCAAAGACTACCTGTGCCCCCCCAATACCGCGAAGCACACCCCCTAACCCCCTTAGCGAACAAGAACCCAAACTCTTCATTTATGATATCATACCATATTATCAAAGCGACCCCCTACACAGCCGGAATATCCTTATAAATTGCTCCTCCCTCGTTCCATAGAAACTTTTAGATTGGGGAAGCCACAAAATCCAATGACCCACTAATTCCGAAATTTGTTATCATACCAAACCGGGGAATATGTGGTTGAGCTACTTGTGCATATATCATACCCACAAAACTGTAAAGTTAGCGCGGATCGCACGTTCTCAGCTGCGCCAAAACTCGTTCATTCACATCTCTAGGGGACACGAGAATTCTGTTTGGACTCCCCTCCGTGGAGCCGCTTTGCTTCATACCAAGCCGATGCCGACATCCTCTACCTTTCACTTCCATATCTCTCCTTCCTCCTCCACACGAACGAATCCCCGCTATCCCATCTAGCATCAACAAACCCCTCACTCCTCAAAACCCGCACACAAATCATTTCAGTACCGGCTGACTAATACTTATTCAAGCACTCCTTTCAGCAAACAAAACTAAAAAAAAAAAAAAGAACCACCTTCCCGGCAACGTCCCAACCCCAGCCAAAAAAGCCAATCCACACCGACATCATTCCACCGACTATTCAATCCAACCTCACCCTCAAAACGAGAAAAGAAGCATGGATAACTCCACTCCAAACCCCGATTTCTCCGACTTCTCCGACAAGGACAAGAAAGATCTCCAAAGTTTCATTGAAAACGAGCAACAAAAGGCGAAATTCCAAGCCAGTCTGTTTCCCCCCCTCTTCCCGTTCCGCTCACCATCACGCACCCTACTGACACCAAAGCTACACCGTAGATGTGCACAACTTAACAGACTTGTGCTGGACGAAATGCATTACGGGGAAAATCTCCGGCGCGACGGTTGACCGCAACGAGAATTCTTGCCTGGAGAACTGTGTTAATCGCTTCATTGACTCGCAGAAGACTATTGTTCGGCAGTTGGACGTTATGGGCGGGAGAGCTTAACTTAGCCCGGTCCGAAGGTACCAAGGAGTATACAAGTAGTCACGGAGTGGGAGGGGGAAAGTAATTCGAGAGGCAGAAATATCTCAATATCGAGCTCTCCCATTCATTCCTGTTCTTTCTTCGCTCTGCTCGAGTACCGGTACTCTCTCCATGCGTACGGTGCATACGTACAGCCTGCCACTGGGACTTACTGCCACAACTAACATCGGCTCTATCTTAACCACATTCCAGCTACGGTAGTCGAGTGAACCAACCAGCCAACCCTGTGTTTTTTTTTTTTTCCAAAAAGAAAAAGAAAAGGGAGCGTTAAAGCCCGATCCGTTCATATGTCCCTCCTACATTCATCCGCCAGTCCATTCACCCCAGCCGTTCAGCCATCCGGGCAAAATATACGAGCCAAACCGTCCCTGCCAGCCCGCCAAACCAGCCACGCATAGAAACAAAAATACCAGCACTAGTCACCGAATACCTCTACTCTCAATCCCATATAGGAGAGGGGTAGAGAAGTATTCAAAGCGATAGAAAGCCGTTGACAAAAAGAGGGGTGAAAGCCTACATACAAGAAAGTAATAAAAAGTAATAAATCAGGCATTATCAATACCAGAAGGACCGAGCCGCGATGCATAATTTGTGAGTATGTAAAAAAAGAAAATATGTCAAGGGGAATTAGCTACGATAGATCTTTTTTGTTTTAAGAAATCGTATGTAGAGTATGTAACTTCCATTACCCCAAGAGGGTGGGCGCAAGGGAGTTAGGGAGGTATTATAATAGGGGGGGGCAAGAGGGATGGGGAGAATGAGAAGAACATAAAAAGAGGGAAATATTTAAGGACAAGGAGTCAACGTAAGTCGTGAGGAGGAAAAGGCCCATCAAAGGGAAAAAGAAAAAGGGAAGGAAAAAAACGGATACGAAAAAAAGTATATGTCAAGAACCAGCCCAAAAGTACCGGCCGCCACCGCGACCCCCAACCATAAAAACCCCAAAACAAAACCAGAACAAAAACAGAACAAAAACAGATCCAGCCCCCGTATTAAGTGAACGCCATATCCCAGAAAACCAATAAACTTTCGAACCCAACTCTAAGCACCGCGGGTAGCAGCAACAACAGCAAGAGCGACAATGGCACCGATGACAACCAAGCCTACAGGTGCCAACATCCTGTTGACTCGTCTCCACCATCGGGCATTTTGGTATATTTCGGCTTCTTCGGTTGTGGTGACTCTCGCACCCTCGATGTCGGCAGTGTATTCAAGCTGTTGCTGATTCGACTTTGGTTCCTTCGTAATCTCAGCGTGAGGGGGAAGGGGGAGGACGGCGGCGATGATCCAACACAAGGGAAGGATGAATCCCAGGCAGAAGAGTATGAGCTGACGATTGATGCTTTCAAAGCCGGTTAAGGGTGCGTGGTCAAGATGCGGTAACGACCACATGGTGGCCACTTCGGGGTCTCTTGTTCGAGTCCCTACCCAATCAATGCCAGGAACACTCTGCGATGATGCCATGCGTCTAGGGCCGTGGTGGGCTTGCGTCGGGGGTATCACTTCAGTGATGAGCATAGTGTCGTCGCTTCGCTGCCTTCGAACGGTCGGATCAAATATCGCTATTCCGACACCCTCGTTGCCATGGGCACTTCCGCTTCTTTCGGGGACGATAACACTTCCTCGTCCACCTTTCTTGCCGTAGAAATACCTGGGCAAAGCACGTCTCGTCAGCCCCGCTCTCTAGCCAAGTTTATAAGCAGCCAATGCGCTCGGCCAATCAGATATCGTGAGTTGAGGGAAAAAGTAAACATACCTCGCCCATGCAGGAAACTGCCTTGCCAAAGCAGACGGCTGGGATTCTTGGGGAGTGGCAGCACGTCCATACAATGGACTGCTAACGGTTCTGCCTGAAGCACTCCGGCCGCTTATTGAACGTCCAACGCCCCCAACGAACGAACCTGATTCGCTCTCACTCCCGAACTGTGCTGACCTTGACGATACTGTCACAGATACTGATCTCCGACGACCAACGGTATCATACTGACCATCATCCGACGAGACCCCATCATCGCTGTTGTTGCGAACGATTCGCAGAGTGCGGGAGTTCATTCGGGATCGGAACAAGACTGGATCATTCGAGTTACTTCCCACCCATGAACTTGATTTGCGGTTGTATTCTTCAGCTGTGAATGGAGGTAGAGCCGGCTCGGACGGTTTCTTGAGAATTGATTTCGGATAACTCTGGGTTCCGGCTACAGTAGTACTAAAAGAGCGTGTGCGCCCGGTAGCTACGGGCTTTGAGGATGCAACTTCTTTGTCTTTGGCGGTGAAAGTGGTAGGTAGGTCTCTTGCGACAGAGGTGGAGGAGGGCAACTTCTTGTGTATCTTGAGGGGCGCAATAGGAGGAAGGCTGTCTAAGGAGGCGGACGGCCTAAGTCTGACACTCCTGTTGGTACTGGCTGTCCGAGAGCTGGAGCGTGTGCTAGTCCTCGAGACTGTGGCTCCGGTCGGGGGTTTCCATGTTGAAACGTCGTTTCCCTTCTGTGAAACTGAGGAGTTGTTACTTTTGGAAGAGTGAACGGTATGGAGTGTATTTGTTTCGGAATCGGAACGCTGGTGCAAGGCAGCACGGCGAGAACGGTCAATCATGTCCATTAACCCCAGCTCCTTCGAGTTTCACCCAACCTCTTTCAACAACAAAACATGGGGGGGGATTGAAGACAGCGATCGATAAGCGAAAGAACCAGAGAACAGAGCGAAGCCGATTCGTCACAGACCGTGGGGAAAGCAAATATAGGATAAACGAGAAAATAAGGTATTCCCGAGCAAGAGGCACTGATTGGATCTGTATAGATGGAAAATCCTAAATCTAACGAGAAGATCAATAAAATGCAAGACATTGGCAGTAGCAGCAGTAAAGAGCGAATGGGACCATATCAAAATATCATAAAGATTGTGGAAACAGGAAAGGCTGCGAACCGTTCTACGAGTATCGGGTGGCCAACCAGGCAACAGGAATACCAGCAATATCAAAGCGATGGCAAAGTGACCGTGTGATGTGTTATGCGCAACGGTGATTGAAGAAGCCGAAAAAATGTATAAAAAACGAATAAACGAATTAGTGAGTCGGGAAAGGACAGACTGTTGCAGGCATAAATAAATAAAAGCTGTATATCGCAAAATAGTTGAAATGGAAGCTAGAATGGAAAGCAAAGAATAGACGGGGGGGGCTTTCCAGCGAGTAGAATAAAAAGAGAGTGTCTGAAGAGGTGGGAAGCAGAAATGTTTAAAAAAAAATATATGTATATTATAAAAAGATATATAAAAAAAAAAAGAGTGTGGGGATTAGAAAAGAGAGCGTGATCCAGTTGGGCGTGTGTTTGTAAAAAAAGAGTGACAGCCAGCGACAGCAGCAGCAACGGAGATCTGGTGATGGGGGGGGGTAAGAGAGAGTGTGTGTGTGAGAGAGAAGGCGAGAAAGGGAAGAAAAGAGGAGAACGAGTGAGCGAGTGAGTGAGTAGCGCTGGCTATTTGTTTCCCCCTATTTTTCACCCTCTGTTTTTACCTTATTCCACTACGGGTACCATATTTCACTATTCCACAATACGTTATGGTCGTTTTAGGCCAGAGGGCATGCAGCATGCGCTATGTACGAGTATGATACAGTATGAATTCTGTACTTGCACCGCATCATACAAGTGTGATAGGGTAAATTTGGGGGGAGGGGTATTCTTGACTGCAGGAACAACAAACTGACCCTTCCATCCCTTCGTGCCTTCACTGCTAAGGCAAGCAGAAGGGGGATTGAGAAACCGCATCTTTTCCATGTCAAAATGCATCGTGGACGAATAGCGAAAGCCATTGACGTTCCGTTGAATTTGTTCCTGCAGGAACGTCAGCATGGCGCCCACAGCTCTAAACCCATCTGGCCGTCCAGCGGTGGAACCTGGGCCTGATTTTGCTTGGGAGCATATCATACAAATCCATGACTAACTCATGCCCGAATTGGCTCCCGTCCCCGAAATGGTTGCTCCCATCAATGACCACTTGGGGTGTGCACCCTCGTCTCTGATGAAACCCTCATACCGGTATACAGTCTCGAACACCTTCTGCCTTTTTCCTCTCCCTTGCCCCGTGCACCTGGCACCACGAGGCTCTCTTTGCCGTAAGCATGCTCATGGCGTCGTTACCCGGCCGCCACATTGAGGCTTCAGTTCACCCTCTCATCTCAATCCGCCTTTTGCTCCAGCAGAGCAATCTAGTCTAAGACCTCCCCACCTCACCTTCTTGCAAACCTCATTTCCCCCGTTTACCCACCGCACGAGTACTTTACAGTACCCGCGCTCCGAGGTTGGCAGCCGTTGCCGACCAGCCCTCAACCACTCCGGCTGAATGTTTCGTTTATCAAATATCCTCCAATCACTGCTCTAGAACAGATCTCATCCTACAACAGTGCTCACCCATTCACAAAGTACTTGTACTTGTACTGTACCGGTACTAGTACTTGTATCCCGACATGGAAATTCCAAAGGATCGTTGTTTTATGGAGAAACAATTGGGATTTCCCATTGTAGAAAAAAGGAAACCACCGCCCAGCCGTTTGAAATGTCACACTCTTGTTGCAACAAGCCAGATCGATCCCACGTCCGTACTCGTACACCACGGGTATCATATTAGTAACTTACCAGGCAAAAAGGATTCCATACGCACACCTCCCCCATAACTCAGGCACCCCGTTGTATCAGAGACATAACAATCAATAGTCTACCGGTACCGTTCGCTGACATGACACCGGGTATCAGGACAGAGTGTTTGCTATGACGGGATAAATAAATAAATAAAAAACTCCATTCCACAATGAATTGAAGGGGCCGCCAAGGCTCTGCCTTGAACTGCTGTTAAGGTAGCCGCTTTACTGGAACGAGCTCCTCGTCTACAACACCTACCTCCACATCAAAACACAGGAACAATGTCCTCCACACCGGAACAGCAACACCTTGAATTCACACCGTTCCTCGCAAACCTCTTCTCGGTCATCTATACCTCCAGCTATGTCGGTATCCTATACCTTAGTCACTTGACAAGACCCCAACCAGGCCTCGCTCGCGACACTCCCTCTGTGATCCGCGCGCGCATTCGCGCTGTTACAGTCGTAACCGCTGTAGCACTCGCTAACTCGGCCCCCATCACTTACTTCTACTCGCCGCACAAAACGTATTTGGACATCGCGACATTCCTGGGACTCTATGTAAAATTGCCGCTAACACTCGATATACTGCGGTGTTTTCTCCTCACGGGGACTCTATTCCTAGGACCTCTGGTTCGGCGGTTATGGTTTGACCATGGTTGGCGGGAGCTACAAGGTGACGTGGACAAAATGTTCACCACATGGATCGGCTGGAGGAATTATGTTGCTGTAAGTTGGCATGAAATTCCTTCTTCTTTCCCTCTTCATTATCACCTTCCTGCATACCTATAAATTCTCCCGCATTCGTCCTATCCTCTGAATCCCAGGGTAGGAGGGGAGAAGTGTGCGGAGAGAAAGAAGAGACACCCCCATCGCATTTTTTCCCCCCACATTCAGAGAATATGCACTCGCTTTCAAACTTGAGTCGTTTCAAGTCCCGTGTCGGAACTAATACTCTCGCTGTCCCGGGCTTTTTACCTGTGTAATACCGGAAAAAATAATAAAGAGCGAATGACAAAAAGCTTAGCCGCTGACTTTATTTTTACCCCCGCATTTGCCGCCGTTCTAGGGACCGTTTACTGAAGAGATTGTTTTCCGCGCCTGCGTGGTACCATTGCACCTTCTTGCCGGGAGATCGCCCGGAACAATAGTTTTTATAACCCCGCTATTTTTCGGAATCGGTAGGTTCTCCATTCCTTTGATTCCAGGCGTTCGTTCTACTCCCCATTTTTTTATAATATATATATATATATATATTTTATTTTTACCGCCCACCCACTATTTGCCTCTTTAAAAAACCCTATATTTCGTCTTTCTAGATCTCCGTGCCAAGTCATCTTGATACGGTTCTGTAACAAGTCGTTGTCGCCCGGTTATCCATTATCACTATCTGACCGTTTTTACCAATAGCGCACATCCACCACGCATATGAATTTTACATTAATAATCCGAACAGAATCTTCGTGATGATTGTTCGCTCGCTGTTCCAATTCACATATACCACGCTTTTCGGGTGGTTCGCTACGTTCGTGTTTCTACGGACGGGCTCGGTATGGGCTTCCATCATTGTTCATTCCTTCTGCAACTTTATGGGACTTCCGGATTTTGGCCCCGTTGACGGGCCCAGGTGGAGGTCTGCGGTTTACTATGCGCTTCTAGTTGCGGGCGCCTTTAGCTTTTATAAGCTTTTGTGGCTGTTGACGGGGTCTCAGCATGCGTTAGTAAGGTTCTGATATGGAGGGGGTAAGCTAGAGGGTTTTTTTCTTTCGCGGCTGCATCTGAACGCCCACGCCACGCCCCGCTGGGGGGATAGACCAAGAAACATTCTCAGTGTTCAGTGTGTTTGAGCACAGAAATTTATAGTTTTTTCCCCTGTTTCAGGTCTTCAATGGGGGTGATGCTGGACGAGCTGTTTTATCATGCCAAGACCTTGTAATATACGAGTACAGGTAGTGTGATGCCGTAAAAACTCCTCCACTCGAGGATCTAGACTAGCTGTTGAAAGGAGCAATTCAAAGAGAAATGATTATCACTGTACACTAAGCTAGGTGGTCCCGGTTTTTGGCCCACCCAGATGCTTTCCAAAGACCGAGGTACTCTTATATAAAACTACACGTGCCAGTGTCAAAGGACCCCAAAATCGAGTGATAAGGTGTGCATAACAGGGGGGCGCCTCCGGCCAGTCTTCTACTCGAGTACCGGCGCCCGAGAATTAAAAACATTTCTGGTATGATACCTTCATATCAATCATCAGCTGTACAAGCGCCCAAGTACTGGTAGGTTACGACATCAACCACGTTATGACGTTAGCTTTGCTAATTGTTAAGTCGCACTCATAACTAGTTATGTTATCACACTCATAATGGTTCTCGGGGAGGCTTAAGCGAGTGAGCACCCCTTTTTTTTCGAATCTTGCGAGGGAAGTGAGACGTTTGAAAAGTGGGAAGGTGACTGCATGGGCTCGTCCACTACTCGAGTGCAGACGATAAACAGGGCACAATACTCGTAAGGTGGATGGACCACAGAACATTATGATAGGTTACCGCTATCTACTCGTACAGTATCATACCTGTGTGTGTGAGAGAGACAAGGTAACACGGAACACAGTATCATATGATACTTGGGCACCTGCCTACGTAGACTACCGGTATGCATCGAGCACCGCTATTGTATGATAGCAAACAAGCTTCGCAAGTCTCGGCAACCTCCTCAAGTTGAGCAAGTTTTGATGACGGGACTCAAAGCAAGCAAGGCATCTCAACCAATGCTTTGTCTCACATGACGACTTGAATATTCCCCTTCTCCCAGAAGATTATTCCCCTTCTCCCAGAAGATAAGCGATAGAACCGAACCGAGCGACCAACGGGTTACCGATACGAGTACTCGTACTGTGCAAATACCGGCACATTACTGAGTAGGGGTAACTCTCGCTTGATGACTAATAACTGTGCTGTACGCGTGCGCTCGCTGTTGTTGTCACCAAACTTCACTTCTAAATTATCACTTCGTCCGTTTTCGTCCCTTTTCAAGCACTTGAACCGACAGTGTTGCTGACCCGCGCGGTCCAGAGAGTCGGTTGGCAAAGCAAGTTAAGAATCCCCCAACATCATGCCAGATCCTCTTCGGGGGGGACTATTGGCCGGGCCATAATGGCCTTTCCCATTTATCGTTAAAATTTCCTGCAAGATCTCCGCTTTCTGTGCAGGGTGCTCAAGGTGGGGGATATCCGGGTTGCGGGTGAGGGGGTTACTTGTAACTGACTGGTTTTTTCTTCTTTTCATTTTTCATGCAGTGGCCGTGCGGTATCGATCAATGGACCACTGTGCTACCCCAGGCCCCCTCTCTCGCTAGCAAGGGGATGCGTCAGCATGAAGTGAGAGCAGATGGGGGAGTACTGGAGGGGGAGGTTTAGTCGTTTGGTCCCGGTCTGTCAAAGTTGTGCCTGTACGAGTACTTGTATGTTTATCGGTGCTTGGGCGATTGAGATACTGTAAGCAAGCATGTGGGTTTGGTTTGGTTTGGCGCCAAGAAGCTGGGGGTTGATCATGGAATCCTTGCAAAAGGAAGTCCGTCCGACGATATGTGTATTTCACTATTCTTGCTTGGAAGCGGCTTAGTTTGAACAGGTGAGGGAGGCCAAGCAATCCTTTTTGTGCTGATAGGTGATAGGGGGTTGGTATTACACTCCGAGTGTCGTGAACGTCTGCGCCGGCCCGGCCGTTTTGTACGAGTACTCGTACTTGTACTAGTACAGTACCCGTACACCTATTGTGCCTACACATGCAAGTGCCGGTACTATGTGATTCAGGTACAACTGTAAGAGCATTCATTATCTACCGCACGGTACGGTACTCGAGTACACCCACGGTAAATTGCAATGGAGATGGCTGCTGGTGTGATAATGAGGCCCCGTTCGCCACCGTTTTCTACTCCACTCCGCGCGTGTCTCCAAGTTTTCTGCAGTGTCTGTCTGGATGGGTGAGTGGGTGTGGAATCGGGAATTCGGCGCCGTTTGTTTCGGGTTCAATTCCAACCATGACGATTTCATTGGACAATTCATTCATCCAATTCACTCATTGCCCAGTACGAGTACAGTACTCCTACGTGCTTGTTGAGTATAGTACAGTTTAGAAATGTTCCTGCTCTGCCGCTTCCGTGCACCCGCCGCGTAAGCGTTTTGAAGTAATCGTTGCTTGTTAACTAGCGCACGTTGCGTTTCCCTTTCCCTTTCCCTTCTTTCTTCTACTCGTATTTTCAACTTCTCATGTTTTTCCTGTCTTTCTTAACCCTTTCTGGAACGGCTGGGGCTCAGCCTCGCTGGTAAGCGGATTCACGGACTGTTCCGACGTCACAATCACGGCTCGCTAGCCATCTTTCCTTTTTCCAACTTCGCCCTCCAGTTTTCAGGTCTTCGGGTTCTGGACTCTCGAGTGACCCCCGAGGTCCTTTCCCCCTTGTTTCTTGGCTTATATTGATTGATTGATTCCCCTTCTCCTCTCCCCATTCCCCTCGAGCATACCACGGAACGTTGCTATTCTATTGCTTTGCCGTCGTTATTGCTTTTACCATTTTTACCCCACCAAGCACCTCTGTGGGGCCCTTCTCTTGCATTCCACTATCCTGTTCTTCACATCCAATTCACAGCAGGTGGGGTAACTAAGTTGGCGCATGAAATGAAGTTTACGGGGTTGCTCTGTTCTTCTGCCTTAGCATTTTGGGAGAATACCTTGGCTCTACACCTGCATCCGCCATCCGAGAACGCAGGGAAAACCCTTTCGTTTGGATTCCAGAAAGTAAAGAGGAATGTCGATAATATTCCCCGGTTACGGAAGAGGGACTCTCCAAACACCGTCGGCCAACGTTTGGACAATCTGGTATGTTGCCCGTTGTTTCAAATGACACAATACGAGTGCTACCAGTGCTAACAAGGTTGCCATCTACAAGGATTACCTTTACTATGCTAACATCAGTGTTGGAACGCCGCCGCAAAAATTACGGTTACAGTAAGCTCGAGCGGTGCATGCTTCCAGATCTGGAATCGCCAACTGACTCGATCTAGTCTCGACACGGGGTCCTCGGATGTATGGGTTGAAACGATGAACTCCTATATTTGCCAGCGACCTCAGAGGCCATGCCGGCGCACTGGGACGTTCAATCCGGATGGCTCGTCTACCTACGAGAAGGTTAGCGACGATTTCGACATTTCTTATGTTGACGGAGAATATGCACGGGGTGAATATGGAAAGGATGTGTTCACCCTCTCGGGTGGCGTGAAGGTGGCTGGTTTGCAATTCGGCGTAGGCCTCGAGTCAACATCGACGGATGGGATTATGGGGATCGGTTTCAGCCTGAATGAGGTGCAGGTTCAGAGATTGGGGAAGGATCCATATAGAAATTTGGTGGATCTTATGGTTGATCAGAAGCTCATCAGGTCTCGGGCTTATAGTATGTGGTTGAATGACCTCGGTGGGTTTATCCTCGAATTCCACCCTTATAAATATTTGCTAATGAATTTGGAGACGCTACCACTGGTGAAGTATTATTTGGGGGAGTGGACACAGCCAAGTTCACAGGCTCTCTTACCACGCTGCCCATGGACAAACGTGTGGGAGAGGCTAAGGCCCGTGAATTTGCTATTACCCTGACTTCCGTCTCAATTGCCAACTCTAGTGGAGGTTCCTTGACTCTGACGGCGAACGGTTACGCCAGCCCGGTAGTTCTGGATTCTGGATCTACTTATACTTACTTAGACCCTAATCTGGCTAAAGAGCTCGGCGATCAGGTTGGCGCTCAGCCATTAGATCAGTATGGTGTAGCTGTTGTCCCTTGCGAGGTCAGAGGTTATAATGGAAGCGTCACCTATGGATTTTCTGGGGCAACTATCACAGTTCCCCTGAGGGAGTTGGTTGTCGATGCTCGGGACAGGTCAGGAAAGCCCGTAAGATTCAGTGACGGGACACCTCTTTGCTATTGGGGTATATTGAGTTCTGGGGATCTGGGAACAAACGTTATGGTGAGACTTGCCTTCCCGGAAGGAGATTGGGAAACCTGAATTAAACTAGCTCAGGGTGACACATTTCTCCGTTCCGCTTATGTCGTTTTTGACCTCGACAACGAGGAAATAAGCCTTGCCAACACCCTCTATAACGTTACGGATAGCAGAATCCGTGAGATTGGCACCGGGAGGTCGGCTGTTCCTGACGCGACTGGGGCTCCCAGTGCAGTCACGGTGCTAGCGAGTGGCACTGGCATTAATCGTGGTAATGCGCGGCCCTATATTTCCGAGACTATGACTAGAAATTCTCCGCCCGACCCGACGGGCACCGCCAACCCTGCACCCTCACTTAATCCATCCTTTGCATCGACACTGTTATTATTCACCACTGTAACTATATCCCTTGTTTTATAGGCTCCGTTGGTACGAACAGAGTCACTTCTAGAATGTAAATGTTTTATGACGGATGGCTACTTTTGGTTATATTGGAGTGAGATGGATTGCTCTGCTCTATCTTGGGTTTATGGTGCTTTTGGCGGTATTGTCTTTCTATTTATTCTCGTGTCCAACGCCTCTGGTGACACGATGATTTCGGTTCGTTAAAAGGTTCCTATACAAGTATCATAGTGGAGTTGGGGGCAAATTGGGATTAATGGAGGTTGTTCTTTTTTTGAGTGCTGGGCGAACTGCCGGTGCGGTATTGCGCAGGGTTTGGTCAATCCCGCCTAAGGGGTTTTGCTGCTGCCGCCAAAGAAAGGTATATGCGAGTGAGAATATATGATGACAGGTTGATTTTGCAACTTCGGGTAACTTTCGACGCAGCGCTATGTGATGTGGTCATTGTGCTACCGGTGCGTTAGAACCTGGTGACCTTCAGCACCAGATGCTGTGCGCTCGGAGTCTCCCTTTCCCCGACGCCGAGAGAGCCGGCTTGACTTGGCCTGTTTCTAGTTGTTGATAACAGTATGCAACCTTTCCATGTAACCCTAAAGTAGGATACTGTAGGTGGCCAGGCGTGTCAACTTGTTGGGGTTTACCGGTATGCAGCTCTTCTCCCCTCCGAAGAAAAGATAAGGTGGGATGTGGTGTGGTGTGGCACAAATTGAGATAGGATGTCATAACCCATGAAGGAGGAGACTTCCTTGACGGTTGATAGCTCGGGGTGTGGTGTACTTTGGGTTTATTGTTAGAGAAACGTGGATAACAGATAGTTGTGTCTCGCCCCCATAATGCTGTTAGTCCGGATATTATTGTACTGTACTCGTACAAGGACCGGCAAGAAGACGATAGATTATCATAGAAAGACCGAAATGATGGGGGTTGGAAAAAAATAAGCTATGGAACAGTTATCGTATCGTACTTGAGGTTCACCGAAGGAATGGATCCCTGTCAGTTCCGGTTAATGGGCCCCTACCCCTTGTACTGTACGGTAAATTTACTTGTATTGATAGCAAAGGTCACAATATCTTGGCGAATTACAACTGGTTTCTTTTCCCAGTAACCTAAGTTATTGTACCGTTGGAAATATGATAACTCTCAACGTTGGCTCAAAAAATAAATGCTCGATTGCAAGGCTCATTAACTGGAACTTACAGGGGTTTATTTTTCCGATTAACCTCAGGTAACTGTCCTATAAATTCATCCCTGACGTTATAACCCTTCTGTAGTCACGGCCATTGGGGGGAGATTCAAAAATGCTTTGATCTGCATGCGAACATGCGGTGATTGAGACTTTCTCCCGCCAATGGTGACCGTAGCTCGCTGGATAACCTCCCCTACCTCGCATCGTTGCGTGCTTGCAGGTGGATTGTATTATGTCAGCCCAGCCCAGACCTCTTCTAACAATCCGTCACGACTTAATTTAGCGGTGCGGCCCTGCCAATGGTCGACAATGATACCCCTCTGAACCGTACCTGTGCAGAACATCTGGCCCACCCTCTCTTCTCCTCACGACACCGCTCCCCGACGCCGCTCCCTCCCCTCCACCCCCACATCACCTCCTCGCCCTGTGCTGATAGGCACTTTTCGCCCCGCGTCCCATATGCCTTTGTCTGGACACAATCAGTCCTTTCAACAACGACTTGTCTAGTTTCCTCAGCCTTCACCCTGCAATTCTGAGCTTTTCCAGAACCTGCGAGTCCATTGCCGTGATATAAACGACCCATCGCCTGTTTGGCTACAAGATGTCTTCCTACCATTACCCCGAGCGTTCCTCGCTCATACGATACGTCATGAGCCATCTGATTGTCCGTCAGCTGCAATCCGTCTTGAAATCAGAAGGCCTCCCGACTAGTGGACTAAAGGCCCCGCTGCAGAAACGCCTTACAACTCGTATGGAGCTCCCAAGTGCTACTGCCTAACTGTCCCGCCTACTGACTGTACTATATAGACATCGAGGACTTGATCAGCAAGGGCGATACATCGGGCCTTGAGCGGGTTAAGAACCTCATCTATCGTCCCGAGTCTCCCGCGCCCTCCCGGAATTCGACCGTGAACTATAACCAAACCAGCGGCTATGCATCGCCAGCTCCTCCTATGGCCCAGACGCCGCCATACTCTGCTCCGGGCTATGGATCTCCAAGTGCGGGTTGCGCCCCCTATCCTGAATTGTTGACTGGCGATCCCCGCTGACCTTATTATCTGTAGCCTTGAGTCGAATTCACTTTAAGGAAAGTCCATTCTACTCGGTGCTTGTGGGGTTAACTCCTCTGGAGACATGCCCTAGTATGAACCCCCCAATTTCTCTTTGTGGTCTATCGTTATTCCTAACTCTGGCTAAACAGTCATGACCGCGAACCGCCACTCAGTTCATGTCTCTGTGGTACTATCAGCACCACAACTCCAGCAAATAAGTACGGATAAATCTTATCGCTGCATGGTCTACTGCGCTGCAGTCGATGGGATCACTGCCTATACCAAGGATACGGATATTGCGTTTCCTCATCAGGTCGAGCTTCGTGTCAATGATGTTCAGATATCTGGGTTGAACCTTCGTGGTCTGAAGAACAGACCTGGGTCAACAAGACCGGCGGACATTACAGATTACCTCAACAGGAAGCCAGGACATAGAAACCAGGTTACACTCACATATGCTCTTACCCAAAAGGTCAGCCTTCCCTTCCACCGATATAAATCCCAGGCCAGGTCTAATGCATCTCTAGAAGTTTGCGTTTGTGGTCAATTACGTGAAGACAGATTCTGTCGAGGAGCTTGTTGAGCGCCTGAGAGCTGGCGCTTCAATCACTAAAGAAACTGTTATTGCTGATAGTATGTTTCATTTACCTTGATGTTTAGATGATGTATATACCATTACTAATATCGTTCAGTGGTCAGGAAGAACGAAGATTCGGATCTAGTCGCTACCTCCAGTATCATGTCCCTCAAGTGTCCCCTATCCACCCTCCGTATCGACCTGCCCATTAGATCTACCTTTTGCAACCATATGCAATGCTTTGACGCAACCTCTTTCCTTCAGCTGCAACAACAGGCTCCGGTGTGTGTTTATACAGTTCCCTTAGGTTGCTCTTACTAATTTGAGCAGACTTGGTCTTGTCCAACTTGTAATAAGAGTATTAGCTGGAAAGCGCTTGTCGTCGACCAGTACGCAAAGCCTTTTCCTCTTCCTTCCTTGCCTACTTACACCCTGTTGCTGACTGTTCAGGTATTTCCGTGATATTTTGAACAATACGCCCAAAACAGTAGACTCTGTAACTATCGATGTTGATGGGGCTTGGTCCGTGGCTGCGGAATCATCCGGAACCCCCATGCCAGATACTGATAGCGAGGACGGGAATGGGGGACGAGATGATATCATCGAAGTCTCTGGGAGCCGATTATCAAAGTTGAGGGTTGAGGCCACACCGATTGCACCCTCTCCCGTCGCTACAACCTCTCGCGAGGGATCTGCTTCGGTCCCCAGAAGCTCCATCAGCGCAAAACGCCCGGCCTCACAGGTCATTGACCTCACCCTAAGTGATGACGAAGATGTTGTGCGTCCAGCCAAACGCATCAATTCGTTTCTCACTCCCACTAGCATGAGTTCCGATGGCCGCGGCGGCGGCAGTGGTAGTAGCTCAAGTAATGGGAATGGGAGCGTGTTTCCGCCTTTCGATCCGGTCGTATATAACGGGAACAGCCACTCGCCGGTAGGGACTCCCGGCCCATTTCTGGCGGGCGGGTATGGCAGATGATGGTGACGTGATGATGTTTTCTCCTATCTGGAAAAGGGGAAGATGAAAGAGGGCCCACTTGATGTTTCTACGCTACCCCTTGCGATACCAACCATAATTGAAGTCTGCAATCACGAATTGAAATAGGGAGAAAGAGGAGGTGGGGGAAGAGCGACCACTATGGGATAGGCGTTCACCAAAATACTCACGCTTCTCTTTGTCTGATGGGAGACATTCGTTACAGAAAATCGTTTGTTTTTCCTCTCCTCTCCTCTCCTCTTCTTTTACCAAGGAAGCTGGCGACTTGTCTTGCTTAGCTAGTTAGCACATCTTTGCTCACCCCCCCTTTCATATTCTTCTTATCAAAGCTTCCATTGCCCACACTATTCCCTTTGGTATCATTTTTCGCCCTTTTTGTCGTTTCATTTCGTCTTCATATTAAGTATCATTACACAGTAGCTCTCTCCTTTCCTTTCCTTATTATCAGCTGGGACAGGGGGTGTTTTTCCGGGACATTCAAAGATTTTCCTCTTTTCTGTCGATTTTTTCCCTTTTCCCTTTTCCCTCTCGTTTGTTCAACTTTGTGTTTATTTTTATTTTTTTAAATCTTCTCTTTTTATTTGAAAACTCATTTTTTAACCGGAGTAATGGGCTTTTTTGTGCTTTCCTTTAATGGACAACCTTTTTCTCTTTTTTTTCTTCTCTTACACTTGTCCTTGGATGGTTGGGTTGGCGAGAATTTGGGATCCAGATGTACGTAAGACGGTGCGATTGTTTTTTTCCCCAGAGCTACTTTATTCCAGGGATTCTTTTTCTGCTCTCTTTCCTCCGATTGCTTTATAGGATGGGTGGGATAGAGGATGGGTATCATATATGAAGGTAGTTCGGTAGGAAGGAAAGGTGGTAGTTGGTAGGCTAGTAGCAGTTATGATAGCTAGGGAGATAGAGGGGGAGGGGTCCTAGGAGGGAGAATGATGGCTTTATATCCGATACTCTTGACGGGCGATCCATTCTGCGAGTAAAAATGTAGTCTTGGAGTGCTCAGAAATGTTTATATCACGTGGTTCGTCTTTCACAGAGTGATTAGCCCAGTTGGTTGGTCAATGGGGAGTAACCCGGCCTTGGAGTTTTAGGCCAGATCTACGAGTACTGGTATCCAGCAACAGTTGCCAAAGCTTACTCGAGTAAGTTAGTCCATCCATCCGGGTCTCACCACCGGCACCCGTGGTCCAACCCTATCCCAACCCCACAACTCTCTACCTCTACCTCCCAGCTTACCGCAGAACGAAAAACAACGACAACAACACGAGACAACAACAGCGACAATTTACCGGTATGTCCTTCGAACCCCCACTCCCCCCCTTCAACGCCTCGGATCCGCACGCCACCTTCCTGAGCTCCACATGCCTGGACCTGCTCCTGATCGAGCTAGTCCCGCTCGCGCACCGACTCTCCCAACAGCTGGCGGAGACGCCGCACGACTCGCTGCATGGCGACGACGACGAGGACGAGGTGCGCGAAGCCGTCTTCTACCGCCTGGAGATGCTGGGGTACCGGGTGGGGTACGGGCTCGTGGAGCGCTTCTCGCGCGATAGGCCGCGCATGAACGATACGCTTGACGTCATCAAGTTCGTGTGTAAGGACCTTTGGACCATTGTCTTTAGGAAGCAGATTGATAACCTGAAGACTAATCATCGGGTTCGCCCCCCCAACCTTCTCTCTATTTTTGTTTGCTTTGCTTGCTTGCGTGGTGATGGCGCGGGGGTTTATATATGTTGGTAGGAGATTATTTATTGATTTGTTGATTTATTGGTGGGTGGGTGGTTAGGGGGTTTACGTACTCACGGACAATTCTTTCAAGCCCTTCTCCAGGATGAGTGCGGAGACAGGGGGGAATGCGGTTGCTAGGGCTCAGCCAGTGAGTCGGCTCTTTTTTTTTCTTTCTTTGGTCGGGTTTTAGAATATCCGGGACGGCACTGATTATGAGCTTTAGTTTCTCTGGTTTCCATGTGGGATAGTTAGGGGTGCTTTGGCAAATATGGGGGTTAATGCGAGTGTCCAGGCAGAGACGACGGAGCTGCCAGCTGCTACTTTCAAGATAGAGACTTTGTCGAAGCCTGTGGCGCAGATTTAGGCTCCTTCCTTGCCTTCTATGATATCATTTTCTATTTTTTTGCTCCTTTTTTTTTTTTTTTTTTTTACTTTTATCGTGGCACAATTGTGGCGCTGGCGGGATAGATTTAGATTCGATTGTTTCAATTTTTTGAGCTCCTATTTTGAGGCGAGTGTGGCATTATCTGGACATCGCACTTTATCACCCAGGATACCGGTATCTGGAATTATCTAATGGCTGGATGTAGGATGTTTTTTTTTCTCTTCCCTTTTTTTTGGTCATTTAGGGTCCGGTGCTAATTTAATAGTTCACGATTGTGGTTTCACAAATGCGAATTCGGGCACTTTTTATAATTTATCATCGTGTATAGTTCTCAAAAGCTCATTGGACAAAGGACACAAAATATGCCACCAATGATAGGTGACCATGCCTTCCCTCTCTGTAGAATAAAACCCCCAACCAAACAGGTATCATCCACTTCAGGCCGTGTTCCAAGCGAGATTTTCATCTACATTGCACATTCGAGTAGAGTTAGGTCACATGATGTTAGTTCTTCGCTCTGATGAAAAGTCTGAGAAACGAGTTTACAACTTTGCAGGCTCAGCCGAGGCAAACTCGACACCCTTGTCAATGTTCGTCCTCAATCCCTTGATGGCCACCTCAAGAAGTTTCTTTTCGTCATCGTTGATTGTCTCGAGAGGGTTGGTAGCCCTTGCAACTCCGTTTGGCTATGATATATGTTAGTATATTGCGATTCTCTTTTTTTCTCTTTGGAGGAAAACCGTACCCCAAGCTCGACAGGAACCGCAAAGAAATCTACGCCAACAGCCTTCGCAATCTCATCACCTCCTGGAACGTCAGGGAGGTAAATATAAGAGGGCTCGACGATTCCCTTCTCTCCGCCAACTGCGTTTGTGGTTGTTAGCGCCATCACTTGGTTATGGGTTTGAGGGGGAATATCTTCATAACAGCTTCAGCGAATCTAGAGGGGAAATATTCAGTATTAGAGTTACGTTGCCGGACTGAAGAACCACAAACCTGAATCCGGCAAATGCCATAGACAGAGTGGCCGAGCCAGCACCATCCTTGGCTTTAACAACCTCATCACCACCAAACTGGATACCTACAATTGGCGTTAGTGGGGTCTTCAGGCTAGAAGCAGTATGTAAAGCAAGCACATACGATTTACCAATCCGGCAAGTCTATCTTCGGGGATAGAAACTGGAGGCTTGGCCAAGCTCAACAATGGAACAATGGTATCACCGCTATGCCCACCGACTACTGGTACGACAATATTACGCGAGTCCTTCTCACCAGTAATCTCGGCGACAAAGGTTGAAGCACGGACGACATCCAATGTGGTAACACCAAAAAGGCGGGAGGGATCGAAGACCTTGTGTGCCTTAAGAATCTCGGCCGCAATTGGAACCGTGGAGTTGACAGGGTTTGAGATAATTAAAATGAATGCCCTTGGGCAGTACTTGGCGACACCAGTGATAAGATCGCGGACAATGCCGGCATTGATTTTGAAAAGATCATCACGGGTCATTCCCGGCTTTCCTGAAAGCCCATTAATAAAGGTCCCAAGAAAGGGATATTTTGATTCTTATAGAGGTAGCCTACTTGGAATCCCTGCAGGGATGACGATGACATCAGCACCTTCAAGAGTATTTCTGAGACCATGGTCCTTGGGAAGATAGCCAGTAACTTTCTGCAAACTAGGTCAATCTATGGATAAAATTAGAATGACTGTTAGGAAACCTACGGCCGGTGAGGAGATATGTGAGAGGTCTGCAGCAACGCCAGGGGAATTGACAACATCATAGAGGGCCAGCTCATCGACCAATGGACTCGCCTTCAGGAGAAGTGAGAGAGGCTATTAACAAACTCTTGTCAGTTTTCACGCTTTCACGTTCCAATGAGATATGGGAAATAAGGCAATTCACCTGACCAATTCCACCAGCAGCACCGAGAACGGCTGTTTGTAGTTAGAACCAAAACAAGAGAGGTGCAGACAAAGGGTGAAAACCCACCAGCCTTAACCATTTTTTCTTTTCTAGATTGAGATTTAAGGTAAGTGGAGGATTGTGAGGAGATGTTGTAAGGTCGAAGGGGTGAGTATGATACTAAGGGGTGAGGAGTCGAAGATTAGGATTTGAGTCGAGAGATGAGGGAAGAACGAAGGGATAGCTTGTGGTAGGGCAAGGGTTTTTCCTCTTGGAATTGCGCGATGAGGGGCTGCGGGGTCGAACATTTCTGATTCCGCTAGGCCTGGCTAAGTTACGATGCCGGATTTCCCCTAGAGACAAACATCCGGAGAAACAAACAATTCGTGTGGGGTGAGTAGTCTACTGTACTTAATCCCAATCATATGCAACGACAACACTTTCCCGGCTATTCAACGCACGTATATGTAACACAATGTACCGGCATTACTCAAGTTATTCGCTCTAAGTAGAGAAAGTGGATCTTCTATCTATCACTTTGTTCCGTCAAAATTCCCGTGTGAAAACCCGCAAAAACTGCTCATCATAAGTCACTATCTACTACAAACAACCGGAGTGCCGGTATTATGAGGCAGGGAAACCTTGGGCTCAGTTACGCGGCTATCAGGTCAGAGGGAATAACCAATGATCTGGTCATCCACCCCTTTTTTATCCGAAAAAATCGTAAGTTGACTACCGGTAGGCAGTTGATAGAACTCTCACCTCAACCCCACCACGGATCTCAAGATCACGTATTCGAGCACGAGATCTAACCGGCTCGAATGGTGGACGGAAAATTTTTTATTTTTGAAATATTCCGGTTTATTTACGGGTCCATTAGTTCGTAAAATCCCACCTTCGACTCTCTCCTCCGAACCGTAGCTCAAAGCCTAAGCTTACGAAGCCCTCTCCTCCGCTGCCTTCTTGGCCTTAACGCCCCTGGGCTTAGATTCCGGAGCAGCCTTAACGGGTCTCTGCGATCTCTTGATGGCGCTAGCACGGGCAACAGCGGCCTATAAATCGATTAGCACGGTAAACACTGTCGGGGAGCTGCGGGGGGGTTGCCTGGCGAAGGTCAGATCTATAGTAAGAAGAATATAGGTTAGCAAATGCCCCAAGCGATTGGTAACAACTTCATATCTCAGTGAACCTACCGGTAAGACTTCTTGGCAACGGCATTGGCAATAGCAGAGTAGATCCTTTGTCGTAGCCATTTGTCAGCGTCCAATACCATATGCCGCTAAAAGCTTTATCCACCGCATCTAAGACTTACTTGCGGTTGCTCTTGTACTTGCGGAAGGTAGTCTTGTTGTATAGGGAGGCGGGCTTGTCTCCATGCTTCTCAGCATTCTTCTTCGTAATTACTATGATACCCCACATCAGCAAATCCCCCCAACACTGGCGTTCCTTTAGCCCAACGTACAAACAACATTTCCATTCTCTCCAGCTTGAACACCAACGGCCTGTAAGAATCGTCAAGTCAATTCGTGAATTTGAGAAACGGGTTATAGCAGTCGGGTTGGACCTTCTCGTTCACAAGTCCAGAGTGCTGTTGTATAACTCAGTCAACAAAAGGTTTCTGCAAAATCTCCAAATCCCCTCCGCATCAGAGGATTCAATATACCTTGCGTGTGTGCTGGTTAGTGAGACTCAGAGGCTCCCTGGTGAAGATTATCTGGTCTTTGACAGGTCCACGCTTGACAATATAAGACGAATTATTCCTGGTGATGGCCCAGATGAGATCGGAGCTGACATTTGAGGACATAATTGAGGATGAGGTTGCGAGTGCTATAAAACCAAAAGTTAGCCTTCCACCCAAGTTTGCAAATATCAATGATTTCTCACGGAAAATTGTCGGAACCAAAAATTACAGCACAAAGATGCGAAGCTATTGGGGGAAAAAGAAAAAAGGGTGTCAAGAGCCTACCCGGGGGTTCTAGATATTCGTCGGTTAGGCGTTCATGCGGCCGAAGCAGGCTCTGTTGTCTGGCGGGCAGGCTTTGGTTGTGGGTGAAATGTGACGGGCAGTATGGGCTTTAGATGGGTTAGCCCTAAGCCCTATACCCTGGCTTAGTAACAGCTTCTAGAAAATGGAACGAATCAATGTCCAAGCGCAATCTAAACCCTCGCCCCCGCATGCACAAACACGGCACCTTGCGGAGCCGCAAATTGTTGGAGCGACCATACCGGTACTGCACTGCCACAGTAGCCACACCCTCTGAAGGGGGAAAATGGAACAAAGGAAGCACCAAACAAACACATTGGCCTTCCTTCCTGTTCGGGCTCATTGTCCAGCTCGATCCTACCGCATCTGTTGAATCGCTTAACCGCAGTATTCGAGTACCGTTACGATTTACCATCTTACAAAACCACTCGAGTGTGCAACAACCGCCAGGCATGTACCGGTACAGTGTACCTAATATACTTGCGGCTTGGATCACCGGCAGAGCTTTGTTTCTCCGCCAGTACTATGCCTGAGAACTCCTCTGTTTCGGTAGGTGATGGGAAGAGTATGACAATGGGAGTCTGAAGAAATTCATTTGATGGACGCCGAATAGATATAGAATTTAGCCGCTGCCTTCAAGGCTTTTTTAACACTGCGATCTCGACCTACGGTACCCGAGTACTTGTTACTGCTACAGTATCGGCTATTTTGTATGTGTGTAAATTCTGAAGCAGGGTTGTTCCTATGTTTATCCCAGCCTCCACCAACGGAAGTGGTGTTTCTCTTGTGGTACCGGGGGGCGCTATCAGCTCGTGTAGTCTTCCATACAATTGCTCACTCGCCCCCCCCCCGCTACCGGTATCCCACTCTCTCCGCCCACTTCCCCAGTCAATTAGTCTAACTAGTAACCCGGCTTGACTGGTTTCGACCTGTGTTGAGTTGTCATACAAATCGTAGGAAGACAAATCCACGCTTAAGCGAAATTTGAGAGTATGAGGACAGCAGTACGAGCAAGCCCGCCACAGGACCGGATCACGCCAGATGGAGTTGTTTATACTCCCCCCTAATTGCTAAGAACCCAGGGAATCGTACCTCTCGTTATTCCTGCTTTCCCCTCTCTTTCTCCTTCCTCTCCTCTCTTTCGGTGATCTATCGCTAGATAATATTACAGCCCGCTGTGCCGGAACTCCCGCTACCCCATCACAAGCCATAGCTCGCCTCCTGTCTCGCCTCCCCTGATCAGCGTTTCATCTCTCCTCTCTTTCTATACTTAGTCGAATCTGCTTGCTCCTTTCTCTTTTCCATCAGCTGCATTTGCTGTCAACAGAACCACAGCTCCTTACTGGCACATTTGCACATTCTCTCCTATTCTGTTCCCTGTTTTCTTTTCTTTTCTTTTTTTTATCCCCCGCGCTGTCTTCCTCCTGCCGCTCACCTGTCTGCTCATCATGGCCCTTACCGACAACTACATGCTGTGGACTTGGGCCCTATTCTTGATGCTCATCGCGACAGGTAAATACTCCTCCATTTCCCCCTTCCTGACCCTTTCCCCACCATCCACCGACAATATTTCGAGACAACAAACACTTCACACTTCATCTTATCTGACTGTCACCACTGCCATCGAACTAGGACTTTACTTCTATCGCTCTCGCTGGTTACCTCTTATATCCAACATGATCCCCGAACACACCTACCGCAGATTGAACCCTTCTTTTGAATCCGATATAGAAGCTGGATTAAGGTACGCTTGGTCACGCGCCCTCTTCTCCATAGCGCCCACCCAATCCATACCGGTGTCAAGCCGGTTGGCCTCTCGTTCGGCCGGGCTAATATGTTCTAGTTCCGATGACTTCAACCTTTCCGGAAACCTTGCCGCCGGAGATTCACGAGGCGGCCTAGACCTTGCATCGAAGAAGGAAGTCTTGAGAATAATGAAGGGCCAAAGGGTGAACTTCGACGAGGCCCGACGGATATTCATGGAGCAGAAGCTGTTGAAGAATGGCATAGCTGCGGATGGGAGACCAATGGGTTTGTTGCCTTCAACGCCCCCTTTTCCGCACTGTGATTCACTAACGTTTCACAATTATAGATCCCAGAGCTGTCTTCTTCTCATGAGCTATCACTTTTCTCTCCATCTCCTTTGTTTTGGGGTTCATATGGTCGTGGAATGGAGTTTTTTCGGTTAGGGGAATTATTCGTTACGCATTTCATTATCCGCAATGTTGTCACAATTACTGTGTCGGTTTCTCGGAGAGTAAGGACCCTTGAGATTTGGCAAAAGTTCTTTCGTAGCTGCGCGATATTGTATGATGGTGCGTTGTTCTGGCACGGGAAGAAGGGTTGGATTGTACACCGTTTGTATTCCATGATGAGCATTCCGATAGCACCGGTTGTTCTCATGGAAGGGCGTGGTGGGACTGCATGCTTTTTTTTTTCTTTCCCTTTCTGCTATACCGGGCGTTGTTTTTGATTTATCTGTTTTCTCACCGAATCCAGGTTTGTCTATCTATCTCCCTGGGGATCTTTCTCCTTTTCCTGTCGATCAACCGAAGTATCGTTATCATCTCCCTTGTGGAATTATTTCCGTCATGGCATTTCTTTGCTTGTCATTTTGTTTAACTGTGGTTGTACTGTCCGTACGAGTGCTTGTCCCGTCAAGTTATGTGCTCGTACAGACCGGAGCTTCTCTAGCTTCGCCATCTCACAATATTACCGGTGTGATATTATACCATAATTATGTCATAGCCCAATATTATGAAGGTGCCGTAACCTAAAGAGAGAAAAAAGCCCTTGAAATCCACAATCTCCTCCAGAAAAGAAAGGCCTCCAAGAATGACCACGAGATGTTTTGGATCTCATTAACCCGTGCCCGCGGTTCTCCTAGCCTGCCAAACTCTTGTGAACCCACCGTATGGTGAGCTGAAAGGCTGATCTCGGCTGACAATCCGATAGTTGATTGGAAGAGTTTTTCCCCGGCGGTTAACAGTAGACTACTGGTATTCGAGTGCTTATACAGGATTGTACTCGTACTGTACAAGCCCTACTAGAGATTCAACTTTGAAAAAAAGATACCCATTGTCAAGAGAGATAGGTGTCGGCATGCATTCCTTACCAATACTGTGCCGGTACTACCGCACTAGCACTCGGGCGTTGTCCATAAAAAATAATAAAAAATAAAAAAAACAGAAAGACAGATAAATACTCTACCCCTGTCACGCAAGCTCAGTTGGTTAGTGAACAGAAGAATACATACAAAATATGGAAACACCCCCAGTCATAGTCGAGGGAGGTAGAATCCAGTGAAATCAATGACGAGAGTAGCGATTTCTCTCCCACTTACTCGAGTACTCGTACTCGAGTGCCTATCACACAGCAAGCGCAGATCAAAGCACTCGTACGAGTACAGTACAGTAAGATTTCCTCCTCCTCCTCCTCCTCCTCATCCTGGCAGTAACTCGTAAGAATACCTATCATATACCGGTATCCGGCAAGTAAACGTGCCGGTACAAGTACGAGTACTCGAGCACAGTTACATACGGGTATTACCGTGACCAGTACGGTACTGTACATACCTGTGCGGTAAGTCTAACATTCTGGACCAATCCGAACTACGGTACCGTAACCCGTTTACCCCTCCCTGTTCGATATGATACCTCATGATAACCGGTCATGGCATGGTAGGCCTGAACCCCCTCATCCCAGGTTGAACTCGGTACCTCCCGTAGACTTGTATGGACCATCGTACCCCACCTTCCCTCAACTGGGCGGCGTACCGATTACCGGTTATGTAGCGGCGCCTACCGTGATAACTCCTACTTGTATCATAGACTAAGCCAAGCGAAAAAGTAACAGGTAATGATACTAACTATCATAGCACGGTACGGTTTATCATTTGGCAACCGGAGTTTCCCGTAATGACGTATGTACCGTACTTGTACTCGTACCGGTACGAGTACACACACACACCACTTTAAGCTTTTGCTTGATACTTCGCCGATTATATAAGTTACTTACGGTGTAGGTGGCGAGGGAACAGAACGAGAAATCACATATTCTCACTCGATATTCCGGCTGGTTTGTTGGTTTCGTCCGGGTATTCGCTTCCGGTCTGAGCATTAACTTGCTGGTATGATAATATGATACCTCGCGTATGGGGGGGTTCATATAGGGCGAAGAAGAAAAAAAGATCAGCAAGATCCTGTGGGCTAGATTAGTGAGAAGACAGCTTTGTCAGTGGGGAGAAATGGTTTGTTCTATCGTTACAGTTTGTCGAGGTGAGAATGGTGAAATTGGGCCAGACCAATACCGTAGAGGGGGGGATTGGATATTGTGGATAGCCCCCCCACAATTCTTATCTCTGGAGGAAAAGTTATCATGAGCGGCAGTGCAGACTGGTCTGGGTCTCCGACATCTCGTACAATTCTACAAAATGTTTCTCTCCACAAGTTTTCCGCGAGCAACTCGAATACCGTACTTAGAGTACCGGTACCGGTACTGGCAGGGTACAGTACTTGCAGGTCCTGTTTGGAATTGTGGGGGCCACCTTTTTTGGGTCCGGGGTCGGCCGGATCGCAAAGTCCCTGTGGAACTTGCTTGGCGGAATCAGAAGTACTGTACGGTACAGTACAGTACGGGTATTCGGAAATGATCGGTTGTGTTTGGCGCTAAGGATCGCAAGGGCAGGTAAGCTTTCTGTGGTACGGTACAAGTATCATAGTCATCCTGTCATTCCCATTTTCTCAAGCTTGGCATGCTAAAAATATAGAGATGAGCAACGATCCAACAATATGGCATGTGCTGGTACTACTCGAGTACCCGATGTCAAGGAAAACAAAGGATAAAAGTGATGTCAATTTTCCAACTTGCATCTATTGCAAGGAAAACAGATATCACGATGCCGTCGAGCTGTTATTATTACACCTGTGCACAAGGTTTCGGCGCTTGGCGCTAAGCACACTGACCATTTCCAAATACCGTACCATACTTTTGAATCTGTCAACTCTAACCTGTCAATTTGAATCTGTCAAGCATTGATTGGTACTGTGCCCACCCCGGGGGCTTCAAGGGCTCGGGAATGGGCTTGCACGTGAAAATTTCTCATCCTTGCTGTTTGCAAAAATACGGAACTCGAGTAGAAGGAGACAATGCAACGAGTACATTTTTTGTACATCTTTTGGATACTGCGTGCGCCGTGGTATATACAAACTGTAGGGTAGGGTGGCTGGGACCACCAGTATGGAAACGCCAGGCCTGATAAAAGAGTAATGTTTTTTTTTTTTTGGTGCTCTCTTTCCACTCGCTGCAAGTACTGTAGGCATACGTGCCGGTGTGTGGAAAGATGGGCGAATGGGTGCGAGGGAAGGGAGGTGAAAAGAAAAGGAAGAAGAAAGAGACCGAAAGCAATGAACGAGAACTCCATCACCTATGCATCCGACCCAGGAAAGGAAAAGAAATACAGCATATGAGAAGAAAATACCGAACCCGATGAAATGCAAACTATGGAAACAATAAAAATGCCGATGAAATATATAAAACAGGGAAGAGAAAGGTGGAAAGGGACTTTTTAGTAGCAAGGTGTTTTTGTTTGCTCACTGGTCAAGCAGAACTGAGGGGTAGCAGGGAAAGAGGATAAAGGGGGCCAATGATGGGGAAATAAAGAATGTGAAAAGAATCAAAACAAAGGCAAATCGCTCATCGAACTCTCCATGCGCCCGTCGTTGCATTTTTCGTGATGCAACTGCGCATTCCTGGCCAGAAACTTGACAAGTTTCTGCGCCTCGCTCTCCCACTTCTCTTCAAGGAGCATTAGGCTTTGCTCCGCCCCGGTGGCCCCCAATACATCATCCGCAAAGGCAACCTTCTTCTTCTCACATTTGCTCAACCTTCTCAACTTCTTGTGGCGATGTTCCTTCTTCCCATCCCCCCCTTTATGGTCCCTGGGTGCCGATTTAACTGCAGATTTAGTGGGCTGAAACAACTTGTCCTTGAGGAATTTGACGTGCTCAGCTCTGTCGCGGTCCATGCGGGGGAGATATAGTAATGTTTTATTCTGTTCCATAGCGTTAACCATGGCGGAGAAGCCTTGAAGATGAATCTCATTCATCTCGCAGTGAATTTCCTTGATTGCGGTGTTCTTTGTCAACATTGATGCCAACTCCATCGCTCCGGGAGTGCCGAGTGATTGTACTATGGACTAGATATTAGCAACCATTGGGGCTATTGATGGGGGGGGGGGAGCTTACGTTCAATCCTTAGAATTTCTAGGGTCTTGCTCTCGGATAGCCGGCTCAGGGCATTGATAAGTCCAGCTCCCAAACTATGCATCCTGTTAGCGAAGCCATTGCAATGTACTAATAGTCATCAAAGGATCAAACCTAGCGCTCTCCAGAACAGCTTGCTCCCCAGATATATCTAGTTCTCTCAGGGTGGAATTATTCGCGAATAGGGCGCCCAGAGCGGCGCACGTCTCTTGGCCGGCCTCATATGGCAAAGAGACCTTGGATATATCGAGAAAAGTGATGGTCTTGTTAGCGGTCATTGCCGCTACAAACTCTCGAAACATTTCTTCCTTAGGGTAGTCTACCATTCGCATTGTTAAATGGGTTGGAGTAGTCCCTGAAAGAATGCATCCAAGCAATTCATCGTGGTACCCCGAAAGCGGGTTCTGCCCGACGTAAAGGTGCATATTTCTTGGTTTCCCTGGGGCTCGTGACATTGAACGCATGAACACAGCAACATCCCTTGACGTCAAGCCGCACTGAGTAAGAGTCAGGTGGCGAAGTGAATCGGATTGCGGGCTAGCGAGATACGCAGCCACAGCGTCAATACTCTCCTTGTTAAGCTTTGTTTCGCTATTTCTAGTTAGCAAATAAACTACCTGGAAATTAAACCGTGGATCGTACCTTAGGTCCAAGTCTTCCAATCTCCATCTTAGTAGCGTCTCTGCCGTGAGCAGTGGGTCCTCACCAGAGGTCCGCAGAAGGCGTGAAAGGTTCAACTTCCTGAGAAATGGGAAATAGGACATCGAATTATTGAGACTAGGCGCGTGTATCCGGCCGGGGTTCCCGCATAGGTTCAACGACTCCAAGGTGTTCTCGTGAGTAGCTAGCGCATTGAGGAACAGGGTCATCATCCTCTCCGTCAAGCCACAGCGCTCAAGCTCGAAACCACGGAAGTGGGCAAGCCTAGAGGCGGCGGCGTCAACGAGCCAATCAAGATCCGATTCGACCAACTCGATTCCCGTCAGATCAAACCAGTCACAGTTCGTTAAACCTCTCCGACACAACGGCATTACAGCTTCCACAATACCGCATCCGCCCTCGGGGGAAGGAGTCCCGGTAATATCTTCCCTACGCTCTTTCCGTTTTATACACTCATAGACATCCAACTTTCGTAACTTGCTACTATATAGGGCCAGTGCCCGAATTTCGTGTATCAGAAGCGAAGACCTCTTGCTGCCAGTTGACTTGATGCCGATTGGCCGTCCTGATCGAGTACAATTAGGTTCGTTCTCTGTGCCATGCATATCGACTACGCCGTGCAACGGCTCTAGGCTAATCCCGTGAAATGACAAGGAGGCAAACGCCTCGTTCCATCTCAGTGACCTCATGACCGCAAGCAACTCCAAATCCGTGTATTGGCGCCGTCTGGAGTATGCCGGTGGGTAGAGTACGAATTGAGGAGAATCCTCTACCTCGGTATGGATTCCATAGACAATGTTTGAAGCATCCAAATCATAAGCCGTACCTGAAACAAAGATTAGCAAACACCGGCTAAAGGTGGGAAAATTGCGGTCCTTACAGTAAGCAGATAGGGTACGGTCAAAGCCGTTATAGTCATCATCCAGGGTCGGAGGGATCTCCGGAATTGATTCGTCCTTCATATTCTCCGGTATATCAACGGAAAATGGAGGGATGAGCCAGTTAGGACGTAGGAACTCTGCGGCTTGGCGGATTGACTGAATAATTTCAGGAGCCTCAGTAGAAGCCAGGTGAACCCTCTGCGGCGATCTGTAGGGGAACCTTTTTTTTATCTATATGTCAGCACTAGGCTCCATTCAAGCATTAACAGGGAATATACCTGAAGGTTAGGGTGAAGGAATCGTCCACATCCGAAATTGCGATCCCAACAAGATTTAGAATTCCGTGAGAGCTTGGCGTCGCGGTAGAAACGAGCGAAGTTGTACTCCTACTGTTGTTGGAAGGGCACTTGGGCACGGGAATAAAGTGAACCTTGTGGATTCCGATGACGAGGTAGCAAGTGGTCGAGTACATCTTGTGCAGATCATCACTTGATCCAGTTCTCCCCTGGGCCTTTCCACACCTTTGAACGGTTCTAAAAATTTGGAAGTGCGCTGGCGAATAGTCCTTCTCCGCTTCAAGTCGGCGTGCGATATGCTTAACGGTAGAGTCTGAAAATGCTAATGGTGGCCTGACGGACCTGCAAGTCTGCGATACCTGGCGTAATATATCCAACCACTCCTGAGCTTCCCTAGATGACCCAACTTGTAGAATTGTCGAGGAAGGCGTTCCATTGGCGTCGTCGAGGTGATCAACTTGGACGGAGCAAGCGAGCTCCCCTTCGCAGCCGGACCGATAGACGGCAACCACCTGATTCATCATGGTGATCAAAGCATGTTCACTGACCAAGTCCCCGGCTGAACCAATCGAAGACGTCCTCCCAGTCGTTGGTGATCGTGCACTCAATCCAAAAGCCTCGCTAGCTTTGGATTCCGACTTGTATCTTAACAATTCATCTGTAGTCAAAACCATAAATTCCTTTTTCCTTCGCAAAAGACCACCGCCTGAAACCACCTCCCCCGAGTGGACGATAACCCTGCTGCTCGGACGCAAGGGGTGCATGGTGTCCGAGTGTGAGGAATCGATTGAAGAGCTTGCAGACGATTCCGCTCGGGGACTGTCAGGGTCCCTACTCCTCAAGGGTGCAAACATTGATTTGGGACGCTGACCAGGGGTTTTCGTGAGAACTCTGGGGCGGGAACCTATGTTTGTCCAAACCACAGTAGCAACCTCTTCATATCCAGTGCCACCGGTTGTGAAGAATGCAGACTTCGGCCTCTGTTTCGTGATCAACTCCCTGACGGGCCAGGTGCCGATGTCGGTTTCCGGGGAGTTGTTTGGTCGGGAAAAGAAAGCGAAGCTCTTTCGGCGAGCGGAGTTTCCATCGCGAGGAACAGACATGATTTATTAGGGCCCGAGCTGACAAAGTGCCAGGTGACGACGACGACGACGACGGCGGCGGCGGATGCGGCGGGTTGTTTAGTGAACCGAGACCTGACGGGATAAAAATAACAATCCTGAAGGAAGGAAGGAAGGCCAGCCGGACAAGAAGGGTCAGAAAAGTATCACTCTCGGGGCCTCTTCTGCCGTAAATGAGGCTTAGGGTAGGTGAATATCCCCAATTGCCCGAGACAAAGGAAGCCACAAAAGTAGAATTGTATTCTGAGGAAGAATAATAACAACAAGAAGCGGCAATAAATGACGTCTATTTTCAATGGATTGGGTTGGCACGGAGATCTAGACCGGTGCAAAAAATTGTATACAGAGGCAACAATTCTATGCTAGATGGCATCCACGACGAGGTGAACGGTGAGGGCTGCAGCGATAGACCCCATAGAATTCAAAGGATTTTTGGGAGACAGCCGGACGAAGGGTAGTTAGTCGTGGGTTTTAGGATCCCAGATTCAATCGCTCTCGGGAAGGGCTGAGAGGGGGACTAAGGAGAGGTAAGGGAAGGGGGTTGGAGAGAAGGGGAATTAGGGTACAAGTGGGGGGAATTGGGGAGAAGGAACGAGGAGGAGGAGGGGGAGGAGGAAGAGAGGAGGAAGGGTAGTGAACCGTGGATGGTCAAAGGAAAGAAGGAAGGAGAGAGGGTGGAGAAGGGGTTACAGCTACTAAGAGGAGGAAGGGGCAAGGGCAGAGGTGGACAGGGTGTGGCAAGTGGTACTTGTAGAGTGGGAAGTTGTGGCAAGCACGCAGGTAAGCAAGCAAGTAAGTAAGCAGGCGAGACAAATACAATTGGCAGGATGGGATGGACAGCTCTAGAGACAAGAATTGCGTGGAGGTACAAGGTGGGATGGGGTACTTGAATATACGGGTGAAGTGGAGTAGACAAGAGAGACATACGAGGTGAAAGGGTGGGGAGTGCAGGGGGTGGAAGGAGAACCGAGAGGAACTACTGGTACAGGTATGATACTTGTTGTACTTTTGGTGCCAGTGATCCACGGTACTCGTACAGTTAGCAGCAGTACTCGCACAGTAGGAAAAGAGAGGGGAGAAGAAGAGATGGAAGAGACGGACAGGACAGGCAGCTATTCAATGCGATGGGCAGACAGGCAGATGGGTGAAAATGTAAACACGAGGATGATTATGGCCTTAGCTAGAGGCCCAGAGCAAGAGTGATCGAGAAGAGAGCTCACCAAAAAAAGAAAGGAAAAAAAAAAAAAAAGAAAGTCGTGTGTGATCCAGTGAGCACGGTCCTGGAGGGATTGTTACCGAGAGACACATGCTTGCGTCAGTGGTGGTAGTCTCTCTAGTAAAGTTGTGCTCGGCCTATGGAAATACCCCGCCGCTTTCATCGACCCTTGTAAATATACCTGCAGCCACCGACAGTCTGCGAGCTGCACAACTACCACAAAAGAAAAGGGAAGGAGAGGAAAGTAAATAACAAAGCAAAAGGATCGACACTCCAAAAAAAAAAAAAAAAAAAGAAAGGAAAAAAGTCAATCGACTACGAGTAGATTGTTTCTCGAGCACTTGTGCTTGAAGTAGCGGTATGATACAAGAAACGGACAGCAATGATTATTCGCTGAATATGATAACTCGAAATCGGTTATCGAGTGGGCCAAAAGAGAAAAAGAAAAAGAGAGTAGCGAGCGGGGGAAATCGCCCACGATCTCCAAAACTTTATGCAATAGTGCGCTATCTCACTCTTATCTACTCTACTCGAGTATCGTACACAGTCCAAGTTAAACTTGATAGTAAAAAGGAAAAATCGCATCCCTTCCCCGCTGCTTCCGCATATTTTATTTACCTCTCGCTGAGCTTCCCTTATGCCACCTCCCCACCCCCTCACAAAGAAAGGGCATTTCCGTAGTGAGGGTACCACTCACAGAGCTCAGCTAACTTATGTATCATACTCGAGCAAGGTCAAGTACTTGTTCCCTGTTCTCTCGATCCCAGTACGGTAGCATTTTCCCCCCTTCCAATTTGCTATCCATCTTACCCTTCCCTTCCCTTCAGCCTTCCCCTTCCTTTCCTGCTTACTATGAGATGGTTGCTTGGTACTTCCTCTCCTTCCCTTTACCCCCACATCCCCGCGTAAAAATAAATAAATATCGAACACACAGAATATATGTGATGAGCAAGTATCGTATCATACAGTAAACAAAAACCCACAACCACCCCCCCCCCCATTATTTCGCTCCTGCCTTCGGAATGCCACCCGCAATGAGATGGTCCTCTCCCCCGACCTGTTCCGTCGCCGGTATCATATCGCGATGTGGTTGCTATGACGTACCATAACGAGTAGCATAACATACCGGTATTCCATGGCCATAACAGGCAAACTTTTTTATACGGGTGCTCGAGCAGCTGAATCTGCATGTAATAGGCAAAAATAAAGTTGACTTGGCTGAGGTACTTACCCTGCCCTATTGAATCGCGGATAGGTAGCCTACAGATTTGTGGTTCCCCACCACCCCATTCACTCGCCTGCGGATCGGTACCTTACTCGAGTAGGTACTCGAGTACACTTGCTCGTTGGGTGCTGGAGGGTCCGCAGCTGGAGGCAAGAAAAGAAAAGAAGAGCAAGGGGAAGGGGAAGGGAGGGAGAGGGAGCCAATGATGGTGATGACATGCGGATGAAATTGGAAATGGGGAAGGAGGGGAGGAGGGTACTGTATACTCGAGTACTGCAGTACGGTACTATCTGAAATTGAAATGACTTTAAGATGGAACAGTGACTCAATCCCATGAGCAGCACTCGTACTGGTACTAGAACACTCGAGCATTGGTGACAGCGCATTCCCGGCGAGAAGGTGATATTATCATCGACCAATCGTTTAACAGGGGCCATTTGATTCCTGGCATTGTAAATGCGGATCCGCTTAATTTACTTTTTAAATTTTTAATATTTTTTTTTACCTTTCACTTTCAAACTGGCTCTCCACGGACCACACGCTGATTTGCGGCGCTGCTGCGCACACCGGAACTGAGCCTTACTTCTTGGGGGTAGACTAAGGTACTCACTTGTTGTCTCACGGTACTCGAGTACAGTACTTGTATGATACAATACTCGTACTGGTTACTCGTCCTGGTATTCAAAGTTCAAAGGGTGGCGAGTGAAACGCGGGAACTTGCATTAGGTCACTTTGCCTTGTTGGCCAATAGCATCCACATGTTTTTGGGATAGCATGTTTGAGTGCGCCAAGGTGACTGAAGGTATGAATGATAAAGTGCAGAGGTTGAGACAGATCTTACATATGATACCTATCCTCGAGTATTGTACAGTACTTGTATCATAGAAACTCTGTGTTTGTTTGTTAAGAAAGAGCTGGTGGAGTAAGAGATTATTATTGCTCAGAGAAAATGTATAATTGTCTTTGAAATGTGCAATGATAATATTATTATTATTATTCTAGTATTTTGTTTTTTCGGTTTTTCCCCAAAACTTCTTGCCGATTACTGTCAACTTGTCGTGCGTACCCTACGTGTG